TACCCGTGTAAACGGTTGCAGCAACAAATGTAATGGTAGCGACAGTCAACGACTTCAGAACGATGGAAATGATAGTAATGCAAGAGAATAACATTCCAGCATTCAAATAGATCAGTTATCTCTTGGCTGTACGCGTTTCTAAAGAACCTTGCACATCAGGCGAATTCCAGAAAGCGAAAAGAAGTAATAGACCGTAATGACAATGCTCATGCCATCCCTTGTTGCAGTACTTCTGAACGAACGAAGACGAAATAAGGGAAGAAAGTAAAAAAGAAAGATACGCATGGGATGAAAAACGAGGAAAAAATTGATGCCAAAAGAGTTCTGTGCTGTATTCGCTTACAGTCAATACCGGGAGTATGAGAAGAAAATCGAGGATGAACGGAGAAAAATTGCATCTGGAATCATAGTATAAAAGAGTAATAATATTTGATTAGCATGATTACGCAGTAAGACTTAGTCGAGGATTCGAGGTTCTATATATATGTTCATTTTAATATGTTATAAATGTTCTTTTTTTTGCTCTCCGTTTTATTGGTAGGAAAGTGACTGCAGCAACTGTTACCCAGTTAGAATTATGCATTAATAAACAGTTATGAATCTCTAGCATATATGTACTGGTCCTCATTGAATATAATTTGTGCCTTGATCGATGGTTTAAGATCATTTTTTTAATTCGTTGCATGTCAAAAGTGAGATAAACAAGCATTTTATTTGCAAATATTTGCAGTTATATGCCTCTTTCAAATGAAATTATATGTATAAAGAGATCGTCAAATTCTTGACTAGTTTTGTTTGAATATTTAGATGAAGGAGCAAAGTTTTGTTTCTATATTTACATAAGGGTAACAAAAATAATATCATTCCTAACACTAGATAAGGGGTGTAATCAAAAGTAACTTACTCTGGCAGGAAACAATTTCAAGAGGAATATTTTTATTTGAATGTACGTCTGTTGCGTTAGTTCTTGCTGGCTGCTGCCTGAAATTTCTTCTTGAATTTTGTTTACGTACAACATTCGATAATAAATGAGTGTCGTATCACATTCCTCTATTACCTTGAAGTCTGAAACTGTCGCAGAACAATTCTAAGTCTGAAATAATATCGCGAAGGAGAAGACGTTAATGTATTTTTCACACGCATTATTTTAAGCACCTCCTTTTGTGGCCAATCGTAATTAGCATCATAATTAAAATTGATTCTTCTTTCGAAACTTTCAAAAACTTCAGGCATTTGTATTACTTTTAATGAAAATATCTGCAGCTATAGTCTTTGTCGTAGCAGTGAGACATAAGAAATTACTGAAAAGGTTTTTTTTTTCATTTTCATTTAAAACATTCGGTAATATTATAAATTCCTTCTATTTAGTTTCTTTCAAAATAGAGATGCAAGACCAATCTGTTCGCTTTCACGAAATTCTGGTAAAATGTCAAAGCCGACAAGAATCGTGTCATAACAAATATAGAGCAAGTCTTTTCGAACCATGTAGTACTGAAGACCAAAAACAAAGTTAACTTTGATAAATAATAGTGATTGTTTGAATTAATGATTACTGCTCATCTTTTCTTCAAATAGAAAAAATTTACCTGGTAAGTACATTAATGCTACGTTGTAGTATTCGTGGTTCAACGGTTCTAGAACGTTGCCGCAGCATGCTGGTACTTGTATTACGTACATTTTCTCTGCAAAAATAGCAATCGAAATCATAAAAATAATAAAAATTTGGACATGAATTAATGAACTTTCGAAATTCATGCTCAGGTCAAATAAATTATACTGTTCAGTGAGACATTTTCATAATTTCAATTTTATAAAAGATCAAATATTTCATATGGATGAACTTTATGAAAATTAAATGACTGCTATGATTTTAAATACTACTTGATTTAAATAGTTTATGTTTACTTAATGAAATAAATACATGAATTTCTATACTTTATGTTCAAAAAACTTATAGTTGAAAACATGCCCCTTCTGTGGTTATATTTCGGTAAACCACAAAATTAGTACTTTTTTACAGCTTAGCATGTAGGAATAAAAATCTAGTATATAATGACGAGGAAAAAAATTGAGTTATGACGCAAAAAGAATTAGGAAATTACGTCAGAGAATGATTGTGAGCAGCATCTGTTGGAGGGAGAAATGTATGTAGTCGAGATTGTGAGCATGAACGACTTGTAGGATAAGTTGAGACCAAATTCAGCACATCACTATTCAACGCATCATATGCTGTATTTGTGCATGATGTCGCATGAAGATCATCAAGTGAAGTATTCGAACGTAAACTTAAACAAAGTTCCGAAGGTGTTTCTGAGAGTCGTCGATTCACTTCATTACGCATTTCTTCTGCTTCTCGCACTGGTGAGAAGACGCTCGGACCCATTAATAAATTACTATTAGTTGAGCCATTTGAACTAAAACAGTACGGCATTCTCAAAGATTAAAATAACTGTTTCTTTCAAATTCTTCTGTATGTTTTCAAGACAGTTTCAACAAAATATATTTCAAATAAATGACCAATAAAATACTCACAAAATATTTTGAGGAGTAGGAAGACGAAAAATGAACTGTGCTTCTTCTGGATCAGATGGTCTTGATACTCTAGATACATTTGTTCCGACAGGTTTCAACATGGCATTACTTTGGTCTCCAATTATTTTGCTACCGGTTTCAGAGCAATTATTCGTTTTTGATGTTGGCATTTTCCAGATCGACTTTCTGCTAGTGACTGTCCAATCTGTTTCCATTTTGTTATTCTATAAGTGACATGAAGTATTAAATGTATGCTATGTATTTCTCACACAACATTTCAAAATTTTGATGCCCTCATATGAGATGAATTGTAATACCTTTCAAATTTTAAATTTTTACATAAGGATGAAACGAGAGAAGTCACTGAGGTAAAAAAATCCTAAAAGATTGTGGTTAGACAAAAAATCCTTCTTTTGTCAAAGTGAACAAGATTTCAACTAGACAAAATTTGAATTTATGATAAAAGCTGGAAAGTTTTGAAACTAAAAAAACTTTATTAAATTCAGGAGACCTGGAATAACTCATATTTTTGTTCGCTCAGTTTTTGTTCACGTTCTTTAATTCGAGCATGAGCTTCAACTGTGATATCAAATGGGAGAACAGCAACCCCACCTTTTGGTGGTACCTATAACTTTTGAGACTAATATTTAAGTTTTATTTTTTGTATCAGCTACTGAGTAATTGAAAAATGAAACGGAACATTAGAAGAATTTTAGTGAAAAATGTTAAGGTTTTATAATGCGTGTTTCTGACAGATGCTCTATAAGATTATAAAAGTTTTAAATTTTCTGCTCAAGATATTATACTCAGAAACTATCTCTGCAGGATTGTGAATGTAGGTTTCTATCAAAGGAAATTTAAGAAGGCAAAACACTGCAATTAACAGTTGGTAAAGAAGGTTAGACAACTAAGATGGGATACTTTCTCAGCTATCAATGAAATGTACTATGTGATAAATGGCAGCTGCTAAAGTGTATTAGCAGCTTCAAAAAAATTTTTTGCAATAATGCTTCATAGAAATGCAATATGAACTTTTCCATCATCTTTTGAGACTGTGGTTAGAACCCTGGCAAATGGTGGTGAGAACTGGGAGCGATGAAAAGATGAAGGTGGTGACTGTGTTGATGATAGTGATGAAAGTAGTTCGGCAGAATTAGCTTTAAATGAATCTTCCGATGTAGGTCTAATAAGGCTTTGAGAAAAAATCTGTTTTGTGGAGTAGAATTCTCCAGCTTCTACTGTTGATTGCTCACATTGTGATGTTTTCTTCAGAACTACTTCAGTGCCTGAAAATAGAGTTCATAAGTTTTAAAAAGCCCTAAAATAAAGACCTAAATGCGGTGTATCAACTACAGAAGTATTATCTATAAAGAATGACTATTGTAGCCTTCAATTACTTTGGTTTTGTCGATTATGTTGTGGTTCTTCCCGGACTTTTTCATGAAGCAGTTCCACACATTTTTCCTTGGCTAGATTTAGTTGAGAGGTGATTCCATACGTTTTAATTTTTTTTTGCTCATCACCATGAATAGTCCAACCGATCATATATGTCATGATGATAAAACTATGCACAATAATGCCACACAAGTTATTACAGAAATAAAGTAACATGTCTATCATTTGATTAACATATTCTTTGCAAAGCTTCTGAAACAGACTCAGCTTTTTGAACACTACAGAAATTATTGTTGTTGGTTTTATTGCATTCCAAATCATGCTCGTTTTCATCACTCCATCTTGTCCATCAGAAATTGGGTTACGTTTGTCTTTTATCGCTTCATCATTAGTAGAAAATGGACTTTGCTCCGATATTTTTGGATCATGTAAGCAACAATTTGCCGTTGTGCAGCGCGGAGCACCTTCATTTTTTTTCCGCTCCGGTTCTCCTCTGAAAAATTGATGAACGAAGTAATAATAATTAGCTCTACACTTCTTTTTAAACACTCATAAATAGTTCTGCTAATATTATGCATGCATTTCATGAACTGTATTCCTCTAATTTACTAACCTGTAGAACTGAAAATAACTGTGCGATAGAATACTCATGATTTATTACCATATTTATCAATAACTAGTCGAGTAAGTATTCGGATGTTATTAGACATGTAATCAATCAATTATTTGTTCTTTATAATTGATAAAATTTGCCTCAAGCTTACTTTATCATTATTGCAACATATCAAGAAAGCCATTACTAATTGAGAAATGAAAATTAGAAGAAAAATGGAAAGCATAATGTAACTAATCTCCATTCCTGAAAATAGAAAAATTCACTCGCTAATGACTAATTTAATTATTCTACATTTCTTCTTATACTATAATTTTTTGGACTTCCTTGATGTTGTTTAAATTATTTCCTAAATAAGATATTCCTTGCTTTTATGTAGCGTCCAGTTTGCTGCTCTATATGAAACCGCTATTATAGTAAGTGAAACCGCGATTAAGTAACCTGAACGAGTGGTAACTCAATCGCGGTTTCACTTACTTAAGTTTAGCAAGTTGGAAAAAACGGAATGTGCAGAAATATTTTTGATACAGTCCAATTTATTCAAGCTTTTGCTCACACTTGAAGGCCCTACATTAGCTTGAAAATCACGTGTGGCAATTTTAGCCCGTTTAAATGCCAAGTTTCCACCCATAAGCAGTGAAGAAAGAAAAGAAATAGCTGTTCATAAGGAAAATTTGTTTATTATAGTATTTATTTTAGCAATCGACATTCTTAATTTAAAATATTTATTATTGGTTTTTTTTTGTTACTCAAAAATTTTTGTATATCGTTCTTATCAGTTCTTGTCAAGTGATGTTAGCCGGTAGTTCATCAATCATTAGAAGAAATTTTGAAAAAAAATCAAAAACAAGATTTATGTGGATCTTTGGATCTCTTTTGTCTTTCTTTACTTTATAGTAGGATTTATATTGGAATTAGTATATTAAGCAACAACAAAAACAACAATATCTGATTAATAAACATAAACTAGTATCAGAATTAATATACATTAAACCAGCATATAAAGTTTATTCAAGAGTAGTTTCAGTTTCACATTTTCTTCAAAAATATACAACCGGCAATTCTTAAATTCAGTAAAGTGCATAGAAAATAGACGAAATTTAAATTACTGAGCAAGTAGTTCGAAAAGATTCAAGAAAGAAAAAAACAAATATAACTTACTTGAAAAGGAAATATAAGAAGTAGAAGAAAAATAGGCCGATCTCGTACAAAGCAGCTAGAAAGTAGCTGATCATTTTCACGTTCACAAGCCGTCTGTGGCAGTTTTCTGTCCAAATAATGAACAACTTCTGCTCTCACTTTATTAGAGCCACTCGCTATTTCGTTGCGTTTAGTCAACAAACAACTTTGTTGTAACAGCTGAGTTATAGAATTAAAAAAAGCATTAACAGCCAAACACAGATTTTCGACAGAATATGAGGGAAGCGAAAAATTTGAAAAAAATTGGAATTGCTGCTATGAGAATAGAACAATTTCTTGCGAACTAAATAGCCTCTTTCTGAAAATGAAACCTAAAAATATTATCGTATTTCCTTTTTCCTTTACATTGAGCTCTAAACATCGTATTTATAATACTGCAAAACCGAATCTCGCCAAAAAACCTATAAAAACTTTTACACATCTAAAATATAAAAGCGAAAAATAAGAAAATGATTATAATGGTATACAAGAAACTATTATTCATTCTAAGTCAATTTGTATAAGTGAAACATTTTGATCTTCAGAAAAATGAAATCAGTAAATCTCACTGTTTTGATTCTTATAAGTGAAAGATTTGCTCTGATTCTTATAAGTGATACTGAAATGAAGTTCTAAGTGAGCCCAGTCTTGAACATTTTTTAAGTTTCACTTGGTATCTTTCCCCAAAAAACTTTTGTAAAAAATGAAGAAAACTCGAATTTGCAGATTAAAATTAGCTTTTTCTAATTGTTTAATTTGAGCTGTTTCTTAAATTCCGAATAGAAATTTGAAATTACGTCGAAAAAATATTCTGACGTAAAGCTAATTTGATGAGAGCTGCCAAACAGCTTGAAATCAATATTGTAAACTTGTTGAAAAAAATTCTCGCCAAAAGCTTCAGTTGAACTTGGACATGAGAGTTCAAAAAAAACCACGTTTCTCATTGGCTGTTACTTGCATAAACGAGCAGATCATTTTGAAAATTTTTCGGACAGAAAAAAAAGAGAATAAAACAAAATGCTGCAATTTATTGGTTTATAAAACAACACAAACGCTAATTGAGCTCAGTAAGAAGCCTTCACAAATACTATAAATATAAATATAAATAAATAAATATATATATATATAGTATTTGTCGGAGGAGATGTTTTCAAGCGTCATCTTAAGAACTATCGATTGGATTGTATGCCTCGACGTGGTCTGATATACTAAT